ACATTCTTTTCTTTCTTTTTTAAAAAACTGGTTATGGCCAGTTTATTTTCTAAAGACATGCTTTCAATTTTTCAGTAGGTTGAGCTTTAGTTTGCCAAGAGAGCTGATTTGACAACAGAAAATTTAATGACAAAGTAAATGCAAGCTGAAGATATATTTAGGAAGCAGCTGCATTTAATCGTGAATACTTCAAAATTCAGTAACTTTCTAACAACAGAGTGAAGATTGTTGGAGTGAACATAAGATGATTTCATATAATTCTCATTCCACCATGAGTTAAAACAATTAATTATCTAATAGAGAACTAATTTCTACAGGGAGATGTGTGTTTATTTTATCCATACATGTGATTATTTACATAGTGTGTATGCAAAGAGATTTGTGAAAAACACCTTTTACTTGATATGAAGTTTTAGGTGCTGTATTTTTTAATGAAATGGTCTACATAATTTTATTTGATTAAATATCTTTCTTTACATTGTCACCATAGGTTATGAATTACTATTATTAGGCTATTTTTTTCAATGGGACTGCCAACAAAAGCTCTAAAGAATGTACATTATGGTTCTGAACTCCACCTACAGATTAGTAAGAAGAGGCTTATAAAACTTGTATATGGGGTCTGCATAGTGTTAATGTTTGAGATTTATTTTCCCCAAAGGTTAATAAACAGTATTGACAAATATATTACACGTTGCAATTTTGGTATGGTCATAATGTAGTATGTGAGGTTTAGAGGGTTTAAATAAACATTTAAATGAAATTTGCTAGACATTGGACAGCAAGAATCCTCCCTGTGACTAGCATCAATTTACTTTTTATAGAGCCTTTTTTTTTTTTTTTGTTAAAGCATGAGTATCTCATAAGGAATGGGATAAATAAGCAATTGAAAAATGTACCTCAATTCTTGTCTTTTCGTAGATTAACTGGCTTGTCCTTTAAGGAGTTTCCTTATTTTCAATGATTAAAGTAGGCTTGATTTCCCAAAGCATTTCTAAGTTACTTTCTTGAGCTTCTTCATTTGGGGATTCTTGTTGATTTCACAAAATGATTTACTTGTTGTATTTTCCTACTAAGCTAGAGTTTTTGCTTTCCATACATGCTTCTTATAAAAGGTTAAAAATAATGAATATCTGTTTTGTAATTTATTTTCTGGTTAAGAAATAGTTAGTATTGGCTCTGGCCAAACTCCAAAAAGATAGATGAGACTGTCATTTTCTCTACGGAGTTCACCTTTCAGTCAAGTAAGACAATTGCACATAACAGATAATTATGATATGAAGTAATAAATGCAATTGTGTAAAGTTCAGTGGAAACAAGTTGAAGTGAAAATAAGTTTCTTGATACATTATATAATGTTGTTCCTGATCAGTGGTACAGACTACAGAAATAATTGTTGAAGATGTGTGTGGGAAGATAGAAATGTGTGAAAATAGCCTCATCTTTTTGTAAAGATTTCAATTTAAAAATATACTTTCTTTGGAATTATAAATCTTCATCAGAAAATGAGAATCTTAGTTTGTGATTTTTTTTCCTGCATTTTATTGATGCTTGGTATCTCTCATTTTAAATTTCAAAATTAATCTATTTTTTTCTGAATAAGGATCAAATCACAATATATCCATAAATATATGTAATCATGGGCACACATTTTAAAATATACAATTATTTTGTGATTTGAAATAATTGATTTGTCCCCCCAAATTTACTGAGCACCTCTCATGCACTAAGTCCTCTTTAAATGATTAATAAAAAGAAGTATTTTGCTGTTATGGAGTTTGTCATGTAATCATAAAATCCCCTGAGGGCAAAGACCATTGTGATTTTTCTCTATTGAATTACTTTATTAAATATTTTATTAAAATATTTTCTCATAAATATACACCTAGATGTGTAGCAATGAGCTACTTTGTAAATAGAGGTATCACCAGAGTGAAAAAGTTATATATTTAGTTTTTAATTCCAAAATTGTTACTACATATGAATATTCCCAATGCTTTTTGTATCTTTGGAAATGAAACATGAATAGATGAGTGCATCTATATCAAGAGCTAAAAAGACAGTATCTCACCTACAGTTTATAAGTAAAGTAAATAATATAAATGAAACTGAAAATATTGAAAGTATTTTTCCATGACATTCCTGTTTCCATGACTAAACTGGGGATGGGATTGTCTGTTTGATGTTTTCTTAGTTCATGATTATTTATGCAGCTGTTATGGAGCTGACATTCATTCCAAGTTGAATATTGAAATAAGCAATACAGCAAATTAGGTGTACCCAAAATGCATAGTATGGGGTTGCCTCATGGTATGTAGGTCTAGGGTTATTTTCCTCCGTGCGATTCTTCTTTTATAAGAGATTAGGCGGGAACACAGTAGAGAACTGTTTTTCAATTGCATTTTGTTTTAAAACAACCCTAAATCCAACATAGGTTAAGTACTGATTTGGGAGAGGCAGGAAATCTCATCTGCTTACTTACTCCAACACTCCTCCCCACCACCCCTTCCAGACATCTCTAATTCAGAGCAGCCCAGATGCAATGTTTTTGCTGGTGGTGGTGAAATCAGGGAATGCTCAGGCTTCTGTTGCCAGCCTATGTAAAGGAATGTAAGTCGAAAGGAAAACTTTGGTTGTATTTGAAAATAAAGTTATAGAGGACAAGTTAACCACTGAAGAGCTCTAGAGCTAAGTACTGGAGACTTTGGGCTCCTATAAAGTTCTCTGACAATAAGTATTTTTAAAGAACAAAATAAGAAAGTTCTTATTTTGGTTCTATTATTTCTTTGTTTTTCTTTTTTTTTCTTTAAAAATCTCTGTTCTACAAGTAGCATTTCAAATTGCATAGTATGCACAAGCCTGCCTGGAAAATGTAATTTTCCTCTTGTGAGAGGAAAGAAGTTATATTTCATTATGCTTTTTAATTTTGCTTACCTAATAGGTTAAAAAATTAAAAGTTATTTTACCAGTAAATTTCTTTTGAATTAAAAAGTAAAACAGAAAGTATAATATATTAAATAATATAAATGGTAAGCTATAGTATATTGGAATTACTGTAGATTGTTGCTTTTCTTCTTGGTCTTTGGACAAAAACATATTTATATTTACAGTGAAGTGGGTCAAATGTTTTAGGGAGAATATCCTTAGTTAGAATTTAGCAACTATGTCTGGGTATTACTCCAGGTTTTACTGTTTCACAAGTAGATGTAACTTTTCATGAAAGAAACAGATCATATAAAGTGTATATAGGTATAAAATGTGAATAGTTTGGCTAATTATCTCATTATAAAGTCATATTATGCCCTTCATTTTGTAAAAAGTGTTAGTAATTTGATACATTTGGAATTGCTATTTCTAAAACTGTTGTATATTTTAACTTTTGTTTTTCTTTTTTCTTTCTTCTCTTCCTGTTTGTTACCCCTCTCCTCTCAACAGTCCTGGTACCTGGGCTAGCTTGGTTCCTTTCCAAGTGTCAAATAGGACACCCATCCTACCGGCAAATGTCCAAAATTATGGTTTGAACATAATTGGAGAACCTTTCCTTCAAGCAGAAACAAGCAACTGAGGGAAAAAGAAATACAACAATAGTTTAAGAAATTAAAAAAAATATATATATATAAAGGAAGCAAGGAAGACTGGACAAAACAAAAAGGGAGAAAGGAAAGAAACTGAAGAAAAGAAGATAGACCAGCAATTGCAGCACTTACAATCACTAATTCCCTTAAAGTTGAAACTATAATGACATTCAAAAGGGTCGATGATATTTCACTGATGGTAGATCGCAGCCCTGCAACGTAGCCTTTGTTACATGAAGTCCGCTGGGAAATAGATGTTCTGTCTCTATGACAATATATTTTAACTGACTTTCTAGATGCCTTAATATTTGCATGATAAGCTAGTTTTATGGGTTAGTATTTCTTGTTGTTTACGCATGGAATCACTATTCCTGGTTATCTCACCAACAAAGGCTAGGAGGCAACATCAGAGGTGCTGGGTGACAGAGCTATGAGCCAGCCATTTTATAAGCACTCTGATTTCTAAAAGTTAAAAAAATATAAATAGAAAATCTCTGTAGCCTTTAGTTATCAGTACAGATTTATTAAATTTTGGCCCTTAACCCAGCCTTTTCCAGTGTGTAACCCAGTTTGAAATCTTAAAATTAAAAAAAGAAAAAGAAAAAAAAAGAGGAAAAAAGGAAAAAAAAAAAGAAAAAAAAGGAAAAAAAAAAACCAGTTTGAACACAAAGGCTCTATGGAAGAAATGCCTCTATGTAGGTGAAGTGTTATCTCTGCATGCAACAGTAAAAATTAATATAATATTTTCCCCACAAAAGAAACACTTAACAGAGGCAAGTGCAATTTATAAATTTATATCTAAAGGGGAATCATGATTATAAGTCCTTCAGCCCTTGGACTCTAAATTGAGGGGATTAAAAAGAATTTAAAATAATTTTGAGCGAATTTATTTTCTCCTCAGTTTTTGAGGGCATTTTAAAAAGGCATTAAATCAAGACAAATCATGTGCTTGAGGAAAAAAAAATGAATGAAAACACAGCACTTATGTTGGTTTAGCTGCAGCCTCCGTGGAGGTAGAATTTATTTATTTAAAATTACTGGTTGCATCAAGAACCCATAGGGTGTACAAAAGTTTCTATAAAATCTGCATTTTAGAGGCAAAGAGGCAGGCAAATCCATGTCACAAGGGTAAAGCTTACAGTTTACAAACTGGGAATGCCAGGGTGTTGGATATAAAAACGCACTCTTGAGAAAACACATGGAATCAGGGTGCTGAAAACTTGCATGGTGCTTTCAGACATTAGCCTTGTTCAACAAATTTCTTGTATTGACAGATCCGTAGTGTGCATGGGCAGACACATTTTTGCCTCTGTCTCTTAAAATTTTAATTAAAAAATACTCTTTCCAGTAATCCTAATTTGCACGAAGATATAATGTCCACATTACGTGCCTTGCCTTGAAATCGAAAAAACAAAAAAGAAAAAAAAGAAGAAAAAAAAACACAAAAAGTGACATCACTACACTTGTTTTGCTGCATTTATTATCATTTTAAATCTTTACCATTTTTATGACAAAATATTTTGTACTCCAGACGAAGAAAAATGTGTGACATCATGGATTTTTTAGACAGTTATACCTTTATCTCACATTTATAAAGCATATCATGGCTGTGTATAGTTGCCGCTTAAAAATTGTAATCGACCAGCAATATTTTCAGTATTTTGGTGTTTTTTCTATTAACTTTTCATGTTTTTCATCTTCCAATTAATATTTGGGGGGGAGGGGTTTCAAATTTATACGAATTATGCAATACCAAGTTTTGCCTATGTAGGTAGTGCTTTTAGCTGTATTGGTTATTATAGGTAAGTACACAGATTTAAAAAAAAATAATGTATGCATTTTCTTTTGTTTGTTTGTTTTAATTGACCAAAGTGGGTACTGCTATTTTTGCAGTGTGATGAGGTCCTTTTGTGTACTGAGAGATGGACAGGGGATTTTTTTTTTCTATACATATATATACTCTGGGGTGGGTGGGAGGATTTTTTTTTAACACTTTACAGTGTAGCTGTGAAGCAGTGCACCCTGAGATGGACCTGGGCTGCAAAGCGACTTCTGCCTACTGTGACAAACTTCAACTTACACAGGTTTTCCCTCTCTGATTTCCCACCTGGGGTGCAAGCTGAACTCATTTCTGGTTTTCAAAACAACGGAAGAGTAAGAACAAGCAAACACAACAAATTCTCTTAGAGACAGACTTGGCTTGACCTTTTTTTTTTCTTTTAAAGAAACAAGAATGATCTTATTTTAGTTGTTGGTAGCTGTTCTCGAAAGTTCTAGATCTACAGTGGAGAGTGAGCCTGTCTCATATTTGGTAAAGACATTCTTTTTTTTTTTATCCCACACTTCAGGGTTAAACACACAGCAACATGTTTTCTCTAGCAAAACCCATTCGCCCAGCTGGAGGAAGTGTTTGTGGATCCTTTCCCTGGGTCTGCCCTGTTCAATGTCATTGGATTCATGATAGGATAGGATATACCTGCATCTTCCTACTTCCCATGGATCGCAGTGCACTTGGATTTTTAAAGTTTTTAACTAGCCACAAGATTAAATGTAGAATTGCTGTTATTGAATGTATTTGGACTGATAGATTAAAATCAAAGTTCTTTTTTTTTAAGGGACAAAATAAGTAAATCTTGTTCTATTTCCCTGCCCTTTTAAACTAAAAACTAGAGTGGAGAGGTATCTAGAATTTTTAGAAAGTCATTTTCCTGTGGACAAATTAAGCCTATAAATACGGATTTTCTATTAAAGGGATGGTACTTCACATCTATATATTTGATTTAGTTCCCCCTAAGGACTAGGGGTGAATGAAGGTTTGTTTTATTTTACCCTCTTCTCACCCCACCCCCAGTCCTACTGAGTGAATTCATTACTAGAGGGAGAATCTTTCAGAATTAGTGACACACTGTAGGCTGTCTTGAAGAACTCCCTGACCCCCTGTTCCCCAGGCCATGGCTTAATAAAATAAACTGTCAATTGTTCTCTCAGCATATCATTTAATAATGAATACTTTAGAACAATGCTGATGGGCTAGGGAATTGTATTTGATTAGCCTAAATGCTGGATGGCACAGTGGGATCCTAGAGCACAAGTTCCAAAGGAAGTCCCACCATGTCTGTGATACTTTCCCTGCGTCAGACAACAGATCCTCTCAGCCAAGCTGTTTATGTAGTATCTTTGACCTATTAGGTGAACAACTCAATCTCCCAGGACACACAGTATTCTTCATGGGCAGACTCGCTCTCAGTTTTGCCAGTGAACGAGGAGTTGTAGTTAAATTCAGTGATGCACTGTGGGTATTCCTGCCTGCCTCTTGAATATAAAGAAAGGCCTAGTGCAAGTGTTGCTTTCTCTTTTTCTTTTATTTTTTTAAATCCATTTTTTTCTTCTTTCCTTTTGAGAGAAACCTATTAAAATACTACTATATATATAATCTCAACTCCACTCTCAGCCTCCTCTTCTACTGGGAAGTATTTTCTGACTAAGGGTCCCACTTTTTTGCAGATCTTGCACACCCCTCCCTTATCCAGAACTGCAGAGCTCAGGAGGGTGAAAGTCACCCAAGGGCATCTGTACGGGGTGGGTGTCTTCAGCCACCAGTTTGTGGCACTGTCCAATCTTTATTATGATGCTTTGCAGTCCATCACTCACAGTGCCTCAGAAGCATAGTTCCCTTGGAGTGGCGTGAGCATTTGAGGCTTGTCTAAGGAAAATAAAACAGAAAGGCAGTGAAGGAGACTGTACATAAAGACATGGCAAGAATCTTAATTATAGCAATATAGTTATCGGGTAATGTTCGGGTGGGCAGCTCCATTAAAGAATATGTGAATGAATCTGTGAAGCTGCAAAGTAGCAAGAAGAGCGGAAGGTCTTCTTAATGAACCGCCTACCTTGTAGACAGTAATTTGTACACTGTATAGTTTTG